AAAAACAAACTAGTATTGTATTCTTACATCTTTTAAAGGGGGTCGTGTTTCAGCGAATAACTTTGTTTTTGGCAACCCCAGCTCACTCTCTTGATACGATGCAAATAATCTCGGTCTGGTCATTCAAAACAAAGCACTTCGGCAGTTCTATTAAATTGGGCATACTTTTTAAAGCAATACTATAAAATGAAATTTGAATTTTTTTGGCTATTGGGAATGTTAAGGATGACAGATTGGACAATTCAAACAGTATTTTCATTAAGAGGTAAACAAATTTTCAAATGATAAGAAAAGGTTAGGAGGTATTTTTAATATGGTGACAAGGAAGTCCTATCCTTGAAAACATCGAATTTATTAATAGGATTATTTAATATGACTGAATTTTCAAAGAAATATAATGCGGAGAGATGTAATATATCTTTTGTGACCAAGTAAATTAAAAAGCATTATATTGAAATCTGATATTGTTATATCATCTAGTGTTCTTTATCATCATTACATACCGCGTGCCGCACATTGTATATACCGTAAAATTCCGAAAATAAGCCCTGGGGCTTATATTTTCCAAAGGCCCTTTTTGAGTGGCTTATTTTTGGAGGGGCTTATCTACGGAGGGAAATTTGCGTTTCAAAATTGATTGGGTTAGCCTTATATTTGGAAGGAAATTTATCGTTTTTGCTTTGTTTTACTTTGTATTTGAGGGAAATTTCCAAGTACAAGCTCCCGGGGGGCTTATATTTGGAGGGGCGATTTAACAGAGGGTTTTTTTTGCGTAACGAGTTTAGGGGGCTTATATTTGGAGGGGCTTATTTTCGGAATTTTACGGTATTTAACTATCGTATGACCTTCATTTTCTCCTTGCTTCGATTCACCCTCTGATTAACCCACGACTTGTTTCCGTTTGACCTTGGTATGCAGAGGTTAGTCAATATACAGTTTTTTTCATTATTTAATATAAATTTTTCCCCAAGCTTGTACAATGGAACCTCGATTTAACGAAATGCCAGCTAGGGACTGGGGAAATTTGTTCGTTATCGAGGGCTCGTTACAAACACCTCCATTTAACGAATTTTCGGGAAAGCTACCAAAATGTTCGTTATATCGAGGTATAGTTGATAATTAATTTACAAAACCCAGCATTTCCGGATCTGCAAAATTACTGTAATAACATACATAGCTACGGTACTAGAAAGTCAAGAACAGGCAAACAAAACTGCGTAAAACTACTGTACACATAAATTTTATCGAAGTTGGTCTGTTTGCCATTCATCTTTTATGACAGTCTGAAATTTATTTATTTTGTCGAGGTATATTTTACGTTTGGGCTTGTGGATTGTCTTTGTTATAACGAGGATTTCGTTAAATCGAGGTTCTCTTGCATACATTTTACTGTAATTTTGGCCGGGCTGAAGAAAATCGTTCGTTATACCGAGAACTTCGTTATATAGAGGTTCGTTAAATGGAGGTCAGTCCACTGTAACACAAACGCGGGCTCCTCCCTCCTATATCCAGAATCTCCCCTCCCCTTCCCCGAGAGTCTGTACTGATGTAGTGCGATGAGGGTCGTACAGGGGGGGTCTCTCGCACGGTTCACGAACAGAAAAAACAGCGAATCACGGATCACGGCTATCAAAATTTCATTTTCCCGAATCACGAAAATAAACAAGTAAGGTACTCGTTTTAATAACCTTCTCTTACGGTAGAAAGAGTGTTTGAAGAAAGAAAAATCGTTAAAGGCTAAGTAAAGGCTGCTTATCGGAAATCACATACCTAAATCACTCTCGATGGACGACTCTGACCATTCGTCCACTTCGCGTTGTAACTGCCCGAAGAAACAACAAATCGTCGAAAGAATCTACCTCGTAATTGTCAGCAATAGGATATTCAGCGTCTGAGTCAGTGTCATACTCTTCCTCCTCTTCTACCTCGGCTTCCTCTACTACTTGAACATCTTCAATGGCCTCGTGCGATGTAGAAGGCGTAACAGTCGTAACGGTCGTAGCAGAAGTAACAGTCTCCTCTTCGACAGTGTTAGGGCTGAATGAGACTTTATCTTTAGGATAGTCTGATGTTCTGTACATGTTTAACGGCAATGTTCCGGCCTTGAACATGGTGGTCTCTTGTCTCACACTTCTCTGTCGTGCAGCCCTCCCATTATTTGTCGCCCACTCAATCATGAGGTCTTTTTCCTGCCTATTTAACTCCCTTCTTGCCTTAAGATGCTCCAGCTTCGGAATGGCATTTAGTGGAGTGCTCTGGCGCAACACGGGATAATATGATTTATCATGTGTGAAGTAGTAGGCACTCCAGGGTACTACACGCTTAATGCTTTCGTATACGGTATTTGCCAGATTCCGTGCGTACTGCAAAAGGGTAGGAAACTGGTCCTTGAAATGACCAACTGCGTGTAGGTTTTCAACCTGAACTGTTAGACAAGAGTACAGATCAATGGCGAAGCTTGGGTTATGTTCTTTAACTAACGCCTCCAGATCTTTCAGTCCATTTAATATCATGTTAACCGAACGCTTTGTCTGATTAGAAATAGTTCCTTGAAAACCCCTTGGTTTACCTGTGCTGGCATCGTTTACATCGTTGCTATGCGACAACGCTTTTTCCGTTGTTGTTTCCAAGTAACTGTCAAGTCCTTCCAGAAGCTCGATTGCTTATGGTAGGGAACGTTTTGGTACAGTCTGAAGTTTCATATGAACAGAAAAGGCTTTATACAGGAGACCAAGATGGCCTAAATACTTTACAATGCCTTTTATTGAGGTAATTAAAGTCGCCGGGAAAATTGAAACGTTTCACGAAAAGTTTCAAGTGACTTGAAAACCATCCTTACAACCGACATAGCGAACTTACGGTTTCTTGAGCTTTGAAGAAAGCGGAGCATGTCAATCAAGCTTAATTAATTGCGTGAAGTTAAACTTGAAGTAAAATAGCATCGCCCGTGTTTGAAGCTGTATTTTACCTGAAGTATTTAAAATTTACTTGTCTTGAAATATTTCTAAGTTAACTTTGTGCTACCATCGTCATCCTGACATAGTCGCCGTATTCTCTTGTTCTTCTTTTAACCTTGATTACTTATTAACCTATAGAAAAGTCGGCCCGTATCTTTCAGAACGGTCCTTGATGTCGTTTAATAAGAAGTAAATAAATTCCTACCTTGTAATGAAGATGTATTTCCTGATAGTAGCGGCCTCTCCTTGTCCCATTGCTCTTGTGTATTTATCGCAAAGGCCTTACTGCCATCTTTTCCCTTTTCGAGACGACAAAATTTAAGTTCAACACAGGAGCCGAGGCCACGTTTCTCAGCCTCTGCCTTTAATCCGGCAAATTCCGCGAACTTTTTAGTAAACACTGCCAAAGATGAATGTTCATCTGTAATTGGAAAGCGAACTCGTTCCTTTCCAAGAAAATTAAGCGAGCCGACAGACTTTGGGTCAACGTAAAATTCAATACATTCGACCCTCATCGTACTATACGTACTCGTCCCCTCCATGTCTCGGATGTTTCGATGTTTTGGATCACTGTCCTTTGATCTCCAGTGGCATAGGAGACCATAGGCATAGGAATAGACATCTGATCCATGATAGGCATGTAAAGCACGTGAATTTGCACAATGGATTACTTTAATTAAAGCGAAGTCTCTTACTTGTCACATTTGATGTTTTCAGTCTTAAAATAAGTCTTCCAGAGCACTCGCATCTCAAAATCACGCCAAATAGAGTGGTGAAATCACGAATATCGGTTAATAATTCAAGTTCTTCACGGGTCACGCAAAACCTTCAGATCACGGATCACGAAGAATAATTTATTAAATTCACGTTTCACGGAAAATAAAATCAGCCAATCACGCATCACGGGAATACCCCTGTACGACCCTCTGCGATCAAGTCACCTGACTAGCAAATGAAAATACCCGTCCATCCCCTATAAATGCAGCTCAGCTATAAGACTTGTTCTGAAATATTATTTGCCCGATAAGCAAGCATTAGGAAATGATAACCACAATGGTAAGAGACTTTTGAGTATACTAACTGGACAAGTGCAATTCTCCGTTTTGGCAATAATAGATTTATCACACGTCTAGGTATCACAATGGCCATGATATAAGGAGCAAATTGTACACTAAATGTGAAGCTCTAGTGTGTGCTAATTTTTAGATCTGGAAAAGCCCCCAGGGCCAATAAGACAATAACTACAGTCCAATTAGCTAGGGCTGATTTGGTTGCAAGGGCTGAAATGGGCCCTAGCGTGGGCTGGAATAGCCTTTTGATTGAGCTTTTTTGGCCTAAATTGTCCTCCAATGGCTCCAGGAAGGGCTGAATCAGACTTTGGCCTGCAGGGCTAAATTGACACTTTGGGGCTGAAACATCTTTTTAATTTTCAGTGTGGGCTTAGCACAATTTCAGTTTCACTGGCTATCAGTTTGACCACATCGCCTTATGAAGACCTAGCATTAAACTGTTTAAACTTTGTAACCAATAACATCGAGTTGCTATTTTGGGAGAGAAACGATGAACGAACTTACCAAGGAAATAGTGTTGTTGATTTAGAATTCATGGCTTGGTAAATTTACAAGCAGAGGGCTGAGAGACGTGCCAATATTTCAGAAAATTATTTTGTTCTGCAATTACTGAACTTGAGGGAAAACCTAATCCTGAAATTAAAATTCATAGTTACAAAATTGCAGTCTACAGTTTTTTGTTAATGGTGTCAAACAATAGCAAAATTATTTCATACAAAAAAGGTTTGGGTGCATTTCCAACAGCTGATCCCCGTGGAAAAGCCTGTGCAGCCGATTATTCAATCAAGAAAATACAATAAATGCCCAGTTGGCTTGGACAACATGCGGGCTTTTCCTGATCATTTAAATGAAAAAAGCAATTAAGCAATTTAAGTCCGTCAATTTTCAAAAACCAATTTGTTTTGCAGCCAGATGAATAGACTGAATTCGCAACGCTTAATTTTAAAGTTGAACAAACTAAAATTGATAAGAAATGGCCGAGTTTTCAACAAACAGTAAAATAGATGGCCTATCAAAAGGGTCGATTTGTTTAGCTAGTGTCGATTTAATCCAGAACACAGAACACGTAATCACCTCATACATCGCGGTATCTCCAAATGTTATTTTGTCTATAACAGCAGTCGCTGGAAATGTTTTAATTTTACTTGCACTTTGGCGGACATCTTCACTTCACTCGCCGTCGAAACTCTTGCTTCGTTGTCTTGCCACAACTGATGTTTCTGTTGGCCTAATTTCGCAACCACTTTTCGTTATCCATGTTGTGTCAGTCATCAACAAACGGTGGAAAATTTGTTTTATCAGTGAGCGTTCTGCCTATATAACTAGTGCAGCGTTATGTGGCGTATCCGTGTTAACCCTGACTGCGATCAGCGTCGACAGACTTCTGGCATTACAGTTGAAGATTCGTTACAGAGAACTTGTAACAGTTCAACGGATGTGGATTGTTATAATCATAATATGGATTGTAAGCTTTGCGAATGCCTTCTTGTACCTGTGGAACCCGTTTATTTACTTAATTGGCTGCTGTATTGTAATAGTAGTGGCAGTCTCCAGTTCTACTCTCAGTTACTCAAAACTATACTTTAAGCTCCGTTATCAAATGTTGCAAGTTCACGATCGTTTTGACACATGTAACCAAGTGAGTTCCGGAATGTTCAACATTGAAAAGTACAAGAAGACCGTCTATAGTGCTCTTTGGGTTCACTTGGCTTTAGTGGTATGCAACGAGCCGTTTGTTATTGTGACAGTTGTAAAAACTATTCGTGGGATAAGTCCTACACTTTTTGTAGCAGAAGCTTTCACAGCTACATTGGTTTATCTTAATTCATCTCTGAATCCTGTCCTTTACTGTTGGAAGATCAAAGAAGTAAGAATGGCAGTCAAAGATACTCTAGTAAGCCTTTGTCGTCGTTTAGCTCCTGCAGATAAGAATTAACTTAGTTTTGCCACGTACAAGGCCGACTAATTCACCGATTAATTTAAATTTCTTTCTATATTTTTTTCATCACTATTCCTGCCGTAAGGATCAGTTTACTGTTTTAATTTTTAAATTTGGTACTCAAGATTTTACTGATCCATGCAGGTCTACTAAATATCCGGCTGACCCTCATTGGTTTGTCGCTGTGGTTTTGCCTTCACAAGTATGTCTAAGAAGGACAGGAAAGCGGCGTTTGGTGTCCATTAAACATCAATAAATGAGTAGTCCCCTTATGCGAACCAATGAAAAACAACCTGAAGGAAGGTAGGCACAGACTCTGGGGGTCCATTTTAGGGAGGTTTCCGTAAAAAAAAGCTTAGCGGTACATCCAACCAAAAATTACTTTACTTAATTGTCAATGTATTTAGCCGCCACAAGAACTAAACTAGCCCACACTGTTTAACGTTTCCTACAGAGGACTGGCTAGACACCGAATGCAGCCCCCTCTCGTCACTTCTCACCGCTAGCTGGGGACGTTTCTCTCCCGAACTACCGGCTAGTACTAACTCGACGAGGAGCGATGGGACGCTTCTGCAGTCTCGCAGGTAAAGAGAAAAAGGGGACTGTCATTTCTACGGGGGTAATATACTGCCACGCAAAGGTCTGACAAATTTCAGTGTAAAGGAAGTACCTTCTTTTTATTCCAAGACCCTGAGTATGGGTCCAGCCCAGTCCAGCGAACCCGCGAATCCAAGCTCCACATTTCAAGTGCCCTGCCAACTGACTTAATCCTGCAGCATAAAATATTAAGGATGCTTTTTTAGATCAGATCCAGCATTTGATTTTAAAGTCTGCAGTTTTTTTAAATCTGCTAATCGAACAAGCAGTTCTTTGGATTTGTTCATTTTAAAACTTGTACCTTTTATTGTAATTTTAAACGGTTTTTTAACTTAGTACATGTTTTGTTTATCCTTTAGTACTTCTTATTATTTATAACTTTTTATTGTAGTTTTAAAAGGCTTTTAACCAAGTGCATGTTGTCTTTTTTTAAATATTTTTGTTTATTCTTACTTATTAGATTTTAATGTTTTTAGTCAGCAAGATCCCGTTGATAACAGTACTTGGTACTGAAGGTATCCTGGATAAATATTCGATTATTATTATTATCATTATTATTATTATTATTACGTCCTAACATAGACAGAGGTGTGGCGGAATTCATCCTTGGATTCAAGCTATGTTCACTAACTATCCGGCCGGTATAGTGTGGGCACCTATCAGACATGTGACTCTCCAGTTTAGAGATCGGCGCAGCGAAGCTTCGTTCCGTTACAGAAATCGCGCCGTAATTACCGTTCTTACGTGTCAACAAAAGCCCTATCCGGTATCGTTTTCGCGCCGGCGCAAAAGTTATCCGTCATCGGTGTCAACATAGCCTCAGTTTTTAATTGGAAATCCGTAATACCGTGTGGAGAGAAATTTTTGCGGATTGGCGATTTTTTGTGTTTTGCGGGAACTAATTCAGTTTGCGATTAGGGCATATTGGTTTTTCTTGCTGGGAATAAATTTTTGCGATTTTCGTAGAGTACCCAGTACCCAGTATTGATAATATTTTCCTTTTTATTGAGTACGTGCAATAGAAATACATATTTTCAAACAATACTGTGGTGTGCGTTAGTATTTCATTGTATGCCGCTATGTTTCTGAACGAAAGAGACATACTGTATTGTGTGGTGAATTAAGGTTAGAGAATATTTTCTCCGGAGTAAATTCAGTTGAGGTAATTTTTATTTTCGGGAACTTATTTCTGCGGATCGCTGGAAAAATCCCCAAAATCGCAAAACTTATAACCCGCAAAAAATTCGTGCCACACGGTACCATGATTTCGAATTTCTCAATCAAACACCCATGCCGATAGAAATGATATTTAAGTTCAGTTTAATTAAATTTTTTAAGTTATCTTTTCTCATTGAAGTATTAAGAAGTTCATAATAAAATTTATAACAGGTTCAGTAGCATACGCCATGGCATGCTTTCGTAGAAAAGTATCATATCAATATAAATTCCATGGGATCGAAAGTTTCCCAAATCACCGAATGGAACTAAATATGCGGTATACGATAGCAGCAATGCCTGATTGCTCGGTTTTCGCCTGCAACCTCGCCACCCATAGCATTGTTCCTGCTACCGCAAATTTTATTATGATTTGCTTACCTAAACTGTTTACTTACATCCTAGGTGGCAGGCACGTTTTAATATCACGTTGCTTAACAAATCGTGAGTTCTAGATTCGTCTTTACTTTAACATTGATACCAGCGACCTACCGAAAGTTGAACGAAATTCATTAAACAAAGCCCCAGGCAATGAGAACTGATTACAAGTACGTAAATAGAATTCGTTAAGTTTCGAACCTTTGTTTTGAGAACAAATTTATATCGGTGAATAAACTGTCGAAAGCAGTTGATAAGCCGTCAGGGGAAAGGCAAACTCACAAACTAAAGTTCAGATGAAACGCACGTTTGGACGTCCATGTATCTAATGAACAAATTGTTCAGAAGGCCGCAGAACTCGTTGATAGGTAAGCTGGAGAACATAAGGGCCAATTTAATTAAAATTAGCTATAGTATATAAAATGTGGTTTCAGTCTTGGACTAACAGTTTGAACATGACTCGGATTAGACGGTTACTCGTGTCATGAGTAAGAGCTGATGCAGCTATTAAGTATTGCGAGAAATAATTATTTTGCTTTCTTTGGCTCTCCCATATGAATCTCGGAAACTGAATTGATAAACGCGGCCAAATATTAGAAGACAACACAAAAAGTAGACAACTCAGAGAATCAATGGGCCTTGACAGTACGTACAATGCAGACACAGAGGTTTATATCGTTTCCCTGAGTTCCCGAGTGAATCTGACTTCTTGTGCCGTTTAACCAATTAAAAGTTAAAATGTTCTTTAGTACTGGCTACTCTACCTTAAACGTGTCTATAACGTCTACAATTTTACGCCTCAAGTTTGTTTTCGAAGAAATCCAACGGTTGTAAAAAATCTAAAATGTGTTTTGGAATCAATTGAATTCCGAACGTAATGATCNATAGCAGCAATGCCTGATTGCTCGGTTTTCGCCTGCAACCTCGCCACCCATAGCATTGTTCCTGCTACCGCAAATTTTATTATGATTTGCTTACCTAAACTGTTTACTTACATCCTAGGTGGCAGGCACGTTTTAATATCACGTTGCTTAACAAATCGTGAGTTCTAGATTCGTCTTTACTTTAACATTGATACCAGCGACCTACCGAAAGTTGAACGAAATTCATTAAACAAAGCCCCAGGCAATGAGAACTGATTACAAGTACGTAAATAGAATTCGTTAAGTTTCGAACCTTTGTTTTGAGAACAAATTTATATCGGTGAATAAACTGTCGAAAGCAGTTGATAAGCCGTCAGGGGAAAGGCAAACTCACAAACTAAAGTTCAGATGAAACGCACGTTTGGACGTCCATGTATCTAATGAACAAATTGTTCAGAAGGCCGCAGAACTCGTTGATAGGTAAGCTGGAGAACATAAGGGCCAATTTAATTAAAATTAGCTATAGTATATAAAATGTGGTTTCAGTCTTGGACTAACAGTTTGAACATGACTCGGATTAGACGGTTACTCGTGTCATGAGTAAGAGCTGATGCAGCTATTAAGTATTGCGAGAAATAATTATTTTGCTTTCTTTGGCTCTCCCATATGAATCTCGGAAACTGAATTGATAAACGCGGCCAAATATTAGAAGACAACACAAAAAGTAGACAACTCAGAGAATCAATGGGCCTTGACAGTACGTACAATGCAGACACAGAGGTTTATATCGTTTCCCTGAGTTCCCGAGTGAATCTGACTTCTTGTGCCGTTTAACCAATTAAAAGTTAAAATGTTCTTTAGTACTGGCTACTCTACCTTAAACGTGTCTATAACGTCTACAATTTTACGCCTCAAGTTTGTTTTCGAAGAAATCCAACGGTTGTAAAAAATCTAAAATGTGTTTTGGAATCAATTGAATTCCGAACGTAATGATCCAGTTTTGTTATTCAAGACTATATACCTTATTCTCCTTAATTTTCGCGGATTCTTAAATTCGCGATTTTCGCGATTTTAAAAAATTCGGGAACTTAATAAAGACCCGCAAAGAATAACGACCGCGAACTTTGATTTCGCGAAATTTAATGGACATAGAAAAATCATATATTTGTGTTTTCAAGGGTCCTTAACAATTTTTAACACAAGGTGTTAGTACAAGGAGCTATCATCTATCAACTTAATCAGTGTCAAGATTCGCCTCAAGTTCTTCTTCGGCATCTGAGTAATCATCTTCGCACAGTTCCTCCAATACATCCTTTGTACAGTCGTCAAATTGACCATCCTGTCCCGGCTCCTTGTAGTGTGTAGTTACGAGTGTCTTGTATCTTTCCATGCATTATTGCCCCGTTCCATGGTGTATCGTCCATTTCACATATCACCTCACATATCACCTCAACACATCGCTAAAGGGTGGGGAAAGGCTGGCCCGCCCAACTTTTAGATGAATCGTTTAGTCTTCCCCCTGAGGATCCATTTGAAGAGATTGAAGGTTCTATTGAGATCCCCTAGAAAGGACACGTAACGATACTCTCGATACTCGATAATGACTCGGAAGAACAAGATACTGTAAGACTGACTTTTAGCGGAATACAGCTGCCTCCAAGGGACAGCATATTGGTTTTGTTTCAATTGTTGATTAACGTACAATTTTTGTCAAAAAAAGAAAAAATAAAGTCATTTTCGTCAATTTCGCCAAATTAAATCCCCTACAAACACAATTTTTCTCCGCGATCGCGAAATTAAAGACTCGCGAAATGTGCCGAGAAAATTTTCGCGAAATTTAAGTCCCGCGAAAATAAAGGAGAATAAGGTATCAGAGGCATTGAAACTGTTTCCTGCAGT